TTTCTTTCATACCGGATAGATTTGTCACAGTGTCTGGGTGTGTTTCCCCGGGTATCCTCTAGAGGTCCTCTTCCCCACGGTGTCATCCCTTCTTGAACTACATTCCCCACAATCCTAGTCTGTACCCATCACTGTTATTGCACTCACCTGTTCCCCGTTCATTGTAACCAGCTGTTTCTTGTTAGTCCTTGTTAGATCTTGTGTATATATTCCCTGTCTGTGTCTTTATGTGTCACGGAGTCGTTGTTTGGTGTCCCCACACTTCTTGTCTGTTTATACCCGTTCTTGTTTTTGGATTGCTTCTCTGGATATTTGACCTCTGCATGGATTACAACGATATTGGATTGCCCTCTTAATAAATTACTGCACTTGGATTTTCCCTCGTCCTGTGTGTGTTCGTGACAAGATTTAGCCACAGATGTCTCTCCGTGGCCACCATAGCTGCCATAGAGCGGCCAATGGTGCGGGCCGTCTCTTTTGTGGCCCGAAGAGACAGATCTGTGGCTCTCCTCAACTCCGCAATATTCTCAGGAGTTGGCCCCTCCCCCTCATCTAAATCTTTCAGGAGGTCGGCCTGGTATGCCTGCAAGAGTGCCATAGAGTTCAGACATGAACCAGCCCGACCTGCCGCCATGTAAGCCCTGCCTATTAATGCAGATGTATCTCTGCAGGGCTTACTAGGCAGCGCCGGGGTTTTTAGGGAAGATGCTGACTCAGGGGAAAGATAACCCGCTAGAGCCTCCTCCACTTTAGGCATCTTCCCATAACCCATATCCCGTGCCCCCATAACATTGCTGTAATCCACCATACTAGGATTGGAGACACGGGATGAGTGCGGTTTATCCCACGATCTCGAGATCTCTTTGTGGAGATCGGGGAAAAATGGCAAACCTCGGCGCTGAGGTTGTGATCTGTGCTGCAGGAAACGCTCATCAAGCTTGCTTCTCACTTGCGTTCCCTGCTCATCATGTGGCCAGCTGATGTTAAGTCTGGCCACAGCACGAGTCACAACCTCCACCAGCTCCTCATAACCTTGGCCGTGAACTGGCGCGCCTAGATCACGGTCATCCGCATCAATACTGAGCACATCTACTTCCTCGGAAGCAGAGAGCTCAAGCATTGGGACCTGATCATGGGCAGGAGAAGCCGCGATGCGGGCTCCTGCCCCACTCTCAGGGGCTACGAGATCCTCAGATGAAGAATGAGAAGGTGCCTCAGCAGTCTCAATCTCATCAACAAGATCCCGCTGCGAACCCCACGATCTCAATCGCCGCGCCGCCTCAACGGACGCGGGACCAGAACCATGGGGAACGCGAGCCTGACCGTGCTCATCAAAGCACGCCAGCCGGGAGTGCAGCACTCTAATGGGAAGTGCTTCACAGTCTACACAAGCAGCTCCCTCGAGAGCTGCTCGTGCATGCTGCGCTCCCAAACAATTCACACACAAAGCATGTGTGTCCCCACCCGTGATGAAACGAGGGCAAGGATGCACACAAGCTTTAAATTGTTCGCTGGCCATAAATCAAACTTTCTGAGACAAACAACACCAAATAAGACAGACAGTTTTCAACACAGAGCGCTTGCTGAAGAGCGAAAGCTAGTTTGTGTTTGTTCCGGCGTAGCTTTTATGCATCCGGTTATGCCGTCACATGTTACGTCATGACGCAACACCAATCAGGATTGGAATAGTTTCATACTGTTATTGAAACTACTTCAGAGGCGTGAAGTATATACTAACATACTTCAGAGGCGCACGCTAAGGGAGCGTCCCCAAAGAGTTGATTCTCGACGCAGTGTAGAGTTCCCTCGAAAGGGAACTCGACTCGCAAACAAACAGAAAGCAATTTGCAAAAATAAAGGTCAATTTGAGCGAAAATGCAGTGGAATAACCAATATTGTGTTTTACAAATATAAATAAATGAGCCTAGATAATAGGCTATTTCACAAATAAATACAAACCATCCAACAAATTGCATGTAACCTTTGAACAAATACCAAATCTAGTGCATACAAATGCATATCTGTCTGTTATGATTGTGAGATCTCTCGGCTCGATTTTCTCACAAATGTGTCCAGGCAGATTTTCTCACAAATGCAGATGAGTAACTTCTCTTCTAAAACAGCAGATGGCGCTAAGATAGGGGATTAATTCAGCGCTAGTCTCCCGGGAGAAGCACTGATTTGAAACGCGCTTGCCTTTGCCTACAGCTGAGGAAAAAGTTTCTGTCTTTATTTATAATAAACATCTTGAGGTTTTCCTTTGCTAAATGTTTATTACATCTAGACAGAAATCCACATTAGCACTTATTAACACTTCTCTCCAGGGCCGGCGCCAAGGGCATTCGCCCATCCAAACCTCCCTTCCTTCCCTCCCCGCTGAACGCAAACCATTACAAATGCGTGAAATGCACGTACGGTGGTTGAGCGCGGTAAAGTTAGGTTCGGTATTCACAATCACCGGACATCTGTTTTCCCTTTACACTGTTCTATGATCGGCAGTCTTACAAAGATATCAATAGCAGGATTAGTTTTAACAGTATGTAACCATTGTATCGACATGAAATATTAATTCAAAATCCCCTACGTGCGCTATATAGCTGCATATTTATACCTGAGAATGCTTTGACGCGCTTCCACAGCGCATGGGAACGTCTGGCAATTCCACCAACTGTGGTAAAACGTAGCCTATAATTTATTATTTAACAGTACTTTTAACATTTAAAAACAGACATTTTCAAATGCCAAAGCTTGCAGAAGGTTACTATTGGTAAGACTGACTTAATACAGGTGAAATTGTGCCAATACCTCCCTTCATGTATTTACAGTACACAATCATTTATATATATATATTTTTATAAAGGGTTTTTGGTGACTTACTACAGGTGAGATTTTGCATTATTCACTGTAGTAAGTCAAGCCTGGTTAGGAACGTACTACAAGCATGACTGTAGCCAGCTATGGGGTCACCGAGGTCTGGACCTCTGTATTTTTCAGAGGTGTGTATAATAAAGGTTGTGAAATTATTGCCTAATATAGTAGTAACTTATATAGTAGTAAAGTTAATTTCACATATGGAATTAGGTAAACTCTACTTAACTACATTAAGTGAAAGTAACAAAGAAAATAAGTCATTTTAACTTGGCTAGTAAAAGGTTGAGCAATATCTCATGTACCTGATTGACATCTGCCATATCTCTATGATGAACAGTTCTGTGTAAACCACTTTGAGATCTGCTTCATTTTCCTCTTTTCCCTCAAAAATACATTCTGCTTTCTTCTGCATGTTGGTTTTGTGGTTTGCCCAAAACCTTTGTCAAATCCTCTGTTTTAAAAATAATGTAAGCAAATTAAATTACAGGCAAAAATAGTTATATTTTTAGGCCACACTTTTAATTATGTGCCTTTACTATGTGCTAACATTTCATACAAGACTATGGATTTACTGTGACTACACTTTGTTCTGGATGATTCCCACATTTACTGCTAATGAGCTGAGTTATGGGTTTGCTGAAGGGTTAGGATTATAGGGGTTAAAGTTAGCTTTTGGGTCAAGGTTTGGGTTACAGTTAGGGCTAAAGTTAACTGTACCTACAAATGTGAATTAAACACATGTACTTTAAATGTAATTATACTACGGAGGTTTGATTCTGATTGGCTGACAAACTTTATAAGGTGTGCAATTATTTTCCAGGAAATGCACAGCTAAAGTAGTTCCAGGCTGGTCCAGACAAACACACACACACACACACACACACACACACACACACACACACACACACACACACACACACACACACAGCTGTGCCCCTCAACTTTATCAAAAATAGTTTTGCAACTGAAAAGCTACATAACATTTCTCTGAATTCAAAATACATCCAACATATCTAAATCCTTTAAAGGCACATTATGCAGAAATTGTGTTTTAGTCAAACAGTGACCCCTATAGTCGCTGTGGAACACTTACACTGTCGTAAATAGCTATCTAGACATATGTGGACATTTTTGGACTGGTCTAATTATCAACAATGGATGAATGAACAGCATCGTAAAAAAATGGCATACTACAAGCAAGCGCAACAACATAGAACGCAATCAAGTTTAGAAATAAGAGATTTAGGCTACTTAATCCATCAACAAGATCGCCAGGTCAGCATCGCGGTTGAATCCAGTGCTGCTTTTTAGCTCGCGCCAACTAGTGAAAGCCCGACCGAGTGGGACTGTCACAAGGAAATAGTCAAAGGATTCAGTTGCGAGTAAACAGTAATTTATTGAGCACAATAGTAGATATCCGTATGGGTCAAAATGGAAGCAGACAGAAGAAGACTCAGGCTCGGCAACGCAGGGACGCAGTGGGCAGACACAGATGCAGGAACAGGTAGAAATTCCTCCTGGAAAATCTCAGGAAACCACAGCATGGTACAGGAGTGGAATGCAGGAGAACACGGCGAGTAGAACCCTGGTAACCTCAACAACCAACTGACAAAGACAGGACGAGGTAACAAACAATATATCGGACATCCTCATTCAAAACAGCTGGCGCTGATCAGCTCATCAGCCGCGCCCGCCCTCGCGCTCACTCACACAACACGCACACACATAGCGAGGGCGAATCAGGGACTCTTTTCCGGTTCCTCACGCTGTCAGATTCTCTTTCCCTTTTCCAAGTCTCTTCCGACCGCGTTTTCTTTGCTTTTTCCATCGTCAAGTATCACGTCTGAAATGCGCGCAAGTGTCTTCGTGCTTCATATGTGGTTGTTGATGTGTGTGACGTCGTTGCCGTAAAGCAAGTCGTGATTCTCGCGAGATTTGTCGGGGGCGCTCCTCTCAAACTTGCATTGCTGGTTTTTCCAGCGGCGACCCCGCCAAGCTTTATTACCAGGATGATTCGCCCTACTATGAGTTTGTTTACCACCGAAATGACTTTGAAGCTGTTATATCAAGGTACAATTCTTGCATAGTGTGCCTTTAAGACCTCTATAATGAAGAAATGATGGTTGCACCTTGTTGTTTCTCTAGTTTCTCCGTCTCCAAGGTTTTTTGTGGCTCTGTGAGGAAAGAGAAGATGAGAACATTTATACAAAGGAAAGAGACGATAGATACAATTACACAGAAGAATAAAGTGACATGTATTAAAGCATTTCTGAACAGTACGGCTACACACTAAACTTCCTTAAAGGGGTCATATAATGGTACATGCACTTTTACAAGTTGATTGTACTGAAATGTGTGTTGGCAGTGCCTGTACACAACCATCATATAATGATAAAAATCCATCCAGTGGTTTTGTTTTAATCTCCTTATATGTTTTCCCCTGCCTGAAATCGAGCCGTTCGACCGTGTGACGTCACAAGGTCGCACGCCCCTCCCACGATTGTTGATTGACAGCAGCGTTTCAACACAGACCCGCCCTCGCTCGTGAGCGAGCTGTCAATCATAGTCAGCGCGGACCGGCGCGGTCATTGTTGATATGCTGGAGCACTGTCTATGAGCAGAATGGCGTCTAAGCGATTGTGGTGTTCTGTTCTTGGGTGTAATAACGAACACAGTCATTTTAATGTTCCTAAATCCGAACCGCTGAAGACGCAGTGGCTGAGTTTGTTTTCGAAGGGAATATTCCCCACGAGCAACGTCAATGCTCATGTTTGCGCGAATCATTTCTCACCAGACTGCTTTATAAAGGAGGGTCAGTATAAAGCTGGATTTGCTAAGAAGCTGCTCCTGAATAAAGGATCGGTACCAGATATTCGTGTTCCTGCTGAATCTCCAGAAGAACGGAGGTGAGTGTAACGTTTTATTAAACTTTATATTAATATATTAATCTTTGCAAATCGCTAGCTGCACGCTTCACAATGAATGTGTAATTATTGTGTTATTGAGTTACAAATGGTGTACGCACAGAACAGAGAGGCGGAGTGAGCAAAACTCATTATCATTTAATGTCATATGCACTGAAACGGCGTGCTGAAAACAGAGCTGTTTTTGACCAGGTAAAATAAGTGTTTTCTTACAATACTAATGAGAATTTTTAATTAAAGTATATTACAAACTTTTAATTTAGACCCTAAAGAATCATATTAGCTTGTACAAAAATGGCATTATATGACCCCTTTAAGAATAGGATTCACAACAAGCATTATTTTATATACGATTGTTAATAAGCAGTGTGTCTCAGAAAGCACAGTTATTATATTACATAGTTTTATTATATTTTTATTATATAAATTGTATTATGGTCATAATTATATATACACTATATTACCATTTCCCGCAGTGTTTGAGATGCAGTTGATGGTCATTGAGTTGATGGTGTTTCCAGCGAATAAAGGAGTGTTTACAGTTGCTCCTGTTTCAGCTTTCACATTAGATACAACACTGCTGCTCATCTGGACTGGAATAGAGATAGAGAGATTAATTACATTGCTTAAATCACAACTTTAACATTTCTGATATTTTTTTCTTTTATCACTATTACCTCCTTTTTTGTTTTCCGGCTCATCTAGTGTGTTATCATGCTGTTCAACAGAAGCCATTGTCCTTTACTGACTTACAGCTGTTGGACAAGAACACAAATGTCTATAAGGAATCGTATGTTATCAGACACTTTCCAAAAATACAAAAAAAGAGCAGAGTATAAGTGCTGTCAATCGATTTAAAAATACACTATTATTATTATTTTTGGTCCTTTTTTGGTAATCGCGATAAACGGTAAAGTTTTAAATATATTTTGATATTGTAATACTTCCACATTAAATCTCCAAAATGATGTAGAAATAGCATAAAGACATAAATATTTGCACAGATATTCCTGTAGCTGGCCAACAACGACCCACTCAAGGACCTTATCCAGAAAAGGTAGATTTGCAATAGGCCTATAGGTAGATAATCTTCAGGATATGTGGCCGCATGAAAATGACAAAAGACCAACAAATTTAAGTGGGGTTTGTATTTTATTCCTTATAATTAGTTAGGAGTTTCTGTTTCTTTTACTGTACACAGGGCAGAAGACCCACAATAAAACAAAATACAGTGCCAGTATATCTTTGGATCACACAGCAAATTGTTCACCCCAAAATAAAGGAAATATAAAAGTACAATTTGTCACCTCTTATTGTGTGCAATAATTAAGAACAATGCAAATAAGACAACACCACCAATAACAATAATACGGTAGCGGTACTTCTGGAAAGAAAACATAACGTCTTAGAACTGCATAAACAGTTAGACTGAAATAACACTCACAAAATACACCTGAAATGACATACAGTAGTGTGGATATTACTAACTTTTTCCCATGTTTCTTACATTACACACTAATAAATCACTCCTTCCACGCAAACAAGCCTCGTCTGTACATGCGGTGCGTTAACTCAGCCACACTCACACATTCACGCAATCCTGCGTAAACATCCAACTACCCAGTGGTGTAGTCTACGTGATACGCAGGTATACGCCATGTTTTGAATTAATAAATCAAAAGTAGAGCTGTACAATGAATCAAATCTCGATATGGACTAGTGTTGTCACGATACTAGAATTTCTAACTTCGATACGATACCTTGAAAAATATCGATATTCGATACCATTTTCGATACCACAGAGAAAAAAACTGCCACAATATTAAGGGGGTATTTTTTTTTATTTAAAGCTAAATATAACAAGTCTAAAACATGACAATGAGGTAGCCTATATTTTACATCAGTGGTTCTCAACCCGCGGCCCGTCGCAAATGCTGATGCGGCCCATGATGCTGATCACGTAAAAAAAAAAAAAAAAAAAAAAAACTTATAAACTTATAAAACTTATCAAACTTATAAAAACCAATATAAGTTTGAACAATATTTATTTTTTTGTCAAAATAATTTTGGTGATCATGTAGGCTACTGGTTTCACATATGCGCAGTACTGACGCAACTATGAACTCACAATAACACAGTTAACGCAGACAATTGCAAGCGCGCGCTCTGGCAGATTTTAAACGCATCAATTAACGATCAAAATGGACAAATATGTTATTAGAGGAGAAAAAAGATGCAAGGAAAATACTGATAAAGGAACACGTGCAAACAAGAAGAGTCGTCGGATCAGCAGTGAAGGTAGGAAAGTGCTTGAAGAATGGAAGAATCAGTTTGCTGTCAACGAGCGAGATGGACAGCCTTTCTGCTTGCTCTGTAATAAAATACTGGGCGTATGTAAAACTTACAATGTCAAAAGGCATTTCGATACCACCCATGCAACTTTTGACACGAAATATCCACCTGGATCTCAGGAAAGAGCTTTCAAGATAACTAGTCTTGAAAAAAATGCCATTGTTGAACAGAATACAATGCGAGCTAGCTTAAAAGTGTCTCAGGCCGTGACATTAGCAACGTTCAAAATTTCCTGGCTCCTTGCCAAACACGGCAAACCATTCAGTGATGGAGAGCTAGTTAAGAACTGTTTTCTGGAATCACAATGTCTGTTTGATGACCTGAGCAACAAGAGCGAGATAATTCGCAGGATAAAAAGTTTACAGCTCAGCAATGACACAGTTACTCGTCGAATTTCTGAAATGTCTGAGAATTTGACAGAACAACTAAAAACTAAGCTAGCCACTGCTTCAGCACTCAGTTTGGCTGCGGATGAATCGACAGAGATCGGAGATGTTGCTCAGCTTTGCATTTGGGTGAGATGCGTGAATTCTGAGACTTTTGAGGTTACAGAAGATTTATTGGCATTGAAATCGCTACATGAACGAACAAGGGGCGAGGACATTTATAGAGCACTTAGTGAAGCATGCAAAGACATGAACGTACCGGAATCCTCAGTTGTCTCCATACTGACGGTGCGCCCTCAATGACGGGAAAACACAAGGGTCTCGTAGCTGAAATGCGAAAAATCTCCCCTGACTTGTTGGCATTTCACTGTATTGTGCATCAACAAGCACTATGCAGCAAGCTCGTTGATGGATACTTCGTGGAGGTTATGAACACTGTGTTCAAGGTGGTCAATTTCATTCGAGCGAGGCCTCTCATGCACCGCCGTTTTATTACGTTGTTGGGCGAACTGGACAGTGCTTACGGAGACCTCATTCTGCACAGTGAAGTGAGATGGCTAAGTCGTGGAAAAGTCTTGCATCGCTTTCTGGCTGTTCTCCCCGAGATAGTAAACTTTCTTAATGACATTGGCCAGGGAGAAAGATTTCCAGTCTTGAGAGACAATGAGTGGAAAACAAACGTTGCTTTTCTTTCAGACGTCACAGCTCACCTAAACAAGCTGAACTTACAACTTCAAGGTGACGAAAAACATGTTGATGACCTGTTGAGCTGTGTTGAGAGTTTCAAAATGAAGCTAGGGCTGTACACGGCACAACTCAAAGATGATGATTTAACTCACTTTCCACTTCTGAATGACGTGTGTGAGGGTGTACTGGACATACAACAGAAAGAACGATTCGTTAAAACTCTCAGTCAAACGCAGGAAAAATTCACCTCATGTTTTTCTGATTTTGAGAAAATAAAATCTGCAGGACATTTCATCAGAGAGCCATTGACTTTCCCTGTGGAAAAAATCAAGGACTTGGCTGCAACTTTCGGTTTGTCCCGCCGCGCACTCGAAGATGAACTGATGGATGTTCAGGCAAGAGGACACAGCCGACACAGCGCAACAGTCATCCTCAGTTACAGAAATGTGGCGAAACATCTCTGGACAAAACCTCAGATTATTAAGTTCAAAAGTGCTTTCCATATTTGGGTCGACATACATTTGCGAACGCACATTTTCTGCAATGACGCGCATCAAGTCACGTTTCCGTGCACGTCTTACAGACTGCAACTTACAGTCACAACTTCATTGTGCTGTTACTCCTTTTGAGCCAAATTTCACCAAATTGGTCTGCTCCCGACAACATCAGGTGTCTCATTAATGGTAAGTAGAATTATACTCTCTAATAATAATAATAAATCTAACTGTAATCATTTAGATACCTTAATGCTCAATATCTTAGTTTGCATTGGTGACGCCAAATGTAAATGATATGCGGCCCGTGAAACTTGAACTTAGACATAGTGTGGCCCACTGAAAAAAAAGGTTGAGAACCACTGTTTTACATGAACAAAAATGTCCTGGGTTCTATTTGTTAATATTTTTTAATTGGACCAGAGCTAACATGATGTATTTTTATTACCTACTGTTATCAAAGATTAAAATATACTGTAACAAAAAAGCACTTAACAGTATCAAATTGGAGGATAGAGTGTCAGTAAAATGTATAATAATAAGATTAAACATTGAATTTTCAGTTAAAGGAATTTCATTACTGAATTCAGAGATGCCATTGTCTAGCTGTTTAGTTTATAGTATCTGTGTAATCAAATTGATGATAATCGCTAATGAAGGCAAATTGCAGAATTAAATCATATTTTTTGAATAAAGTTAAATAGGCTCAAGTTAATTTACATTTGACCACAGTTACAATATTTACTTAAGATTCCTCAGTCAGATTATGTTAGCTAAGAATTACGGTGAAAAAACGAGACAACACAGACTCATAAACAACAACAATACTAGGCCATCTTGGTTAATGTTTCAGAAAACTTAAAATGAGAAGAGTTACAGTGTTTCCTTTTTTTAGCAGTGGGGGCAGGTCTGTCCAAACAACAAACACCCCTGATGCTGAGCATATGCTTGCTAAATGGTACCCCTGGAGCCTGTTCCTTAAGTCTGTTTTCACCTAGGCTATACAATAATTTTTTTTAAATGAGTGATGTGAGGGATTATTGATAGTTGAGTCAAACAATCTTTTGGGTGCCCGCAGCCCGCTCGCAGTGTGAAGCGCGTGTCCGCGCTATTCTCTGACATGCCCGCTCGCGGTGTGTAGCGCGTGTCCGCGCTATTCTCCGACTCCGACATGCCCGCTCGCGGTGTTTTTTTTTTACGCGTGTCCGCGCTATTCTCCGAAATGCCTGCTCGCGGCATCTTTCCATTAACTTCACTTTTGCTATTTAACCAGAGTGAATGAGACGAGTGCGTCACATGTGGTGTTTGTCAACGCACCTTTGGAGAGAAGTGAAAGTGATCGCTCGGCTAGTATCGATTCTTCTCGAAATTAGTATTGGTACCGTTCAGATATTTCAGTATCGATATTTATCGAAATATCTATATTTTTGACAACACTAATATGGACTAGTGTCTGTGAATATTAAAGCTCAAAGAGACTGCAATTGTTCTACACGTCTCTGGGAATGAGCACTCAATGCGGCTCTAATACACACACACTGAAGCGTAGCACGCGTGACGCTCGTGGTGTTTTCAGCGTTTCACTGTATGAGGACATGATGTAGGCTACACGTGCACTTCATCGCAGAGCTGCTATGAGAGTCACTTCACTTATCACAGTATACTCACTACAAAAAACTAGACCACTGCAACTACCTATGGATACAAATCGACATTCGAGGCAATCTTCCAGTAAATGGCAAGACGATGCGTCGACGACGCTTTGGGAACTCCCACAGCGTGAATGCGTCTGAAGCATCTATGTCAACTAGTCCAATGGAAAGAATGAGCGTCACGGGCGGGTGACGTCAT